ATGCTCTCCCTGGAGGCGCGCGTCCGACCCCGAAATATATAGTACACCCATATTGTAGTACTAGATCGTTTCCCGAGCGCCGTGGCCAGAAAGCGCCCGCCACGACGCACATACTACAAGATTTCTCGGTGCGCGCGTCGCCCCTGGGGGGGCGACGCACACATAGTATGAGTAGGTTGGGGTGACGCCGAAGAAAGAGTTGAAGGGGCCCTGGGACACACAAATAAATACACACAAATAAAAGGACCCCCATATTTTCCCATATTCTTGGGAATCGACGATTAATTGTGTCTGTGTGTTTTTTCCCCTCCTGAAGAGTGCTCGGTGACCAGCACGAGAACGACCGAAAGAGAGAGCTCCCTGGGCGCCCCGAGGGCGGGGCTCGAAGTGCATCATGTCGCGGAAGGCCGTCTTCACCAGGCTCCGGCCGGTGGTTCCAAGATGGGGCCCTCGGAGGGATGGGGCCCTGAGGCCGAGGTGCGTCAAGCAGTGCAAATCCACCCCTGGATCAGAAGAAAAAAAACGCCATAAACAAAACTTTTGGCGCTCCGCGCGGATGTCTTGGATCTGCGCCAGACCGCCCTCCCTGGCGCGCGGAGCGCGCCAGGGGCGGCGCCGCAGGCGCCGCCAGGGGGGCCCCGCGCGGATCAAAGAAATCTGCGCGGAGCGCCAAAAGTTTATATGGCGTTGCTTCTTCGATGGATCTGATACCTTGGACCCCACACCTTAGGACCCCCCCTGTCGTCAGGACCTTTATGGCGTTGCTTCTTCGATGGATCCGAGACCTTGGACCCCACACCGTTTATGGCGTTGCTTCTTCGATGGATCCGATACCTTAGGGCCCCCCCTGTCGTCAGGACCCCACGCGTCACCTTGGAACCACCGATCAGGGGCAGGCGCCCAGCGCTGTTTTGGATCAGGCGCGGCAGCACCGCCTGCAGGTCCTCCCAGCACGCGCGCCGCACCTGGCGGCGGCCTCGCCCTCCCCCGCCGCTGCCGCTGCCACCGCCGACATCGTCGCCGTCTAGGGGAACGAACAATGAGCAGCGAACTTAGGGGAACAAAAAGTGGCATAAACATAAAAACTCGGAGGTCCGCGCGGATTTCTCAGATCGGCGCTGGGGCCCCCCGGCGGCGCCTCCGGCGCCGCCCCTGGCGCGCTCCGCGCGCCACGGAGGGGGGTCCAGCGCCGATCCGAGAAATCCGCGCGGACCTCCGAGTCTTTATGTTTATGCCACTGTGTCTTCCCCTAGCCGTCGTCGTCGCCTTCGCCGTCGTCGTCGTCGTGCGTCGCGGTCGTCGTCGCCGCCGTCCTCTGGGGGTGCTTCGAGGGCTCTCGGAGGCCTTTCGGTGGCTGCCCGTGTCCTCTGCCCTCCGGGAGTCTGCCGACCACCACCCCGAACCGCCCCCACGCACGAGCGCCTATCTGCGGGGCCTGGTGGCTCAAGCCCCGTGGCCGCGCCGCCCGCTTACCCAGCCTCTGCTCGCCTGCGAGCCTCCTTCGTTTCTCCTTTCTTCTTGTTCGTTGCTTCGCCCTCCTTCCTCCTGGGCCCGGGGACCGCCTGTTCTTTGTCCCAGCGCGCATTGCAGGGCGGGTTGCGCCCGAACCCCCTGGTTGTCCTCGCCTCCTCCCCCTCCTCCTGCTCTCATTCCTCATCCTCCTCCTCCACAATTACACCATATGAATACTACTCTCATCTCTCCCCTGATGATGTCCGGAAGACCTCCGGCCCCCCTCTGCGTATTCTTTATACACAGGATTCCCGGGAACTTGGTTTTCTCTTGCGTTTTTTCCCAAAATGCTGCTCCCGCTGAGACGCTGGCTTCATTTTCGGGCTTCCGCTCGTTCCGGAACGTGCTCCCGCTGCAGCGCGGGCCTCATTATTGGGCTTCCGCTCGTTCCGAATCGTGCTCCCGCTGCAGCGCTGGCGTCATTATTTCAAGTGCCATGCCACGGCATGGTTTTCTGTCCTTCCAAATAACCCCCAAAATCTAGAAAATGGCCCCCCCGAAAAAAACATCGGAATTGATTACACATTCGGTGTTCGATTCGCTGATTTTTGGGGCGTCGCCACGCTTGCTATGTCATGCTACGCGTGGATCTTCAGCACCATGCAATGCCATCTAATGCTACGCCACGCTACGACATTGGACTGTGCGAATAGAGAGGAGATCTACGACGTGTCAAGGGATGGGAGGGAGGGGTAGGACGTCAGATATGACGCGAGCGCACCTAGCTTGTCACCCCCCCCTCCTCCTCCTCGGTGGCCACCCGCGCGCGTGAGCAGCGAACTCGTGAGTGCGCCGCCCACCTGCCGACATGTTGGCCCGACGGGGCGTGTGGTGCAGGTGAGGCCGAAGTGGACCGATCATACGAGAGCCGTCGGGTGGCCAAATGAAACATGCTTTTTATTTTTTGATCCGCGGGTCGAGAGCGCACCTCTTCTGGTCGAAGCTAAGCGGGCCGCGCACAGCTTTAATTAACAAAGGAGGGGCAGAAGGAGGAGCCTCACGTGAAGGCCAGGAGGGGGCAAAGCCCTGGAATCAGGCGGTGCCGAAGGCGATGTGCTTGCGAAGGAACGCCTTGTACAGTGGCCAAATGAAACATGCATCGGCGCGGGCGCATGCCGGGTCGGCGGCTTGCCTGCCTGGCCTGGCATGCGCTCGCGTCGCTGGGTGTAGCTCGTGGCAGGGTCCCCAGATTGCCATCCAACGGCCTCGGGGGGTAAAGCTACCGATGGCCCGGGGGGCTCTGCGGAGCGCTTCCGGTGCGTTGACGGGGAGCTCTCCGAGGTTCCTGGAGCGTCGCAGAGAGGCCCACAGAAATGCTCCTGGAGGCTTCTGAAGGCACCTCGCGGTGCTCGGAGGCTCTCAGATGATCTTGGAGGCCTTCCAAAATCCCACCAGCCCTCTGGCCGTAGGTAGTCTAACGAGTTGTTGGTCCCTCCTCCAGAGCACCCCTCTTCCCTGCGGGGAGGGGTATCCTCCGCCTCCCCTCCTTGCGGTTTTTGAAGGGCTCCGCGAGGTTTCAGAGGGTCTTTTTGTCGCCCATGATGGCTCAAAGAGGGCCTCCGATGCTCCAATCTGGCCTCCAAGATGGCTCAGGATAGCCGAAGATGGCTCAAGATTGTTTCCCCAATGCTCCAAGAGGCCCAACATATCGCTCCAAGACGGGTTCAGGTGCTCTCGGAGCCCCCCAGGAACCCCCCAAGAAGGCCACACTCCACCAAAAGGCCCGAGGAAAAACAAAGATCGCTGCCTTCTCGGGCGCGGCCCAACCGACCCCTAGCACACCATCCCCTTCCGTGACGTCCCCCTCGCCTCTCAAGCTCCCCTGCGGCCGCACACATACTCCTTGGGAAGAGGCGAGGGGGACGTCACCGAAAGGGATGGTTTGCTAGGGGTCGGTTAGGCTTAGGTCGGGCATGTCCTCCTACAGGCGGATTCTGGCGAAAAAACCTAAAATTGCTAAAAATACTAAAATTTGAACAACCATAAATTGTCGAACAATCGTCCCCTGACTATTTGTCTGACTATGTTTTGAACATTCCTCCTTTAGAGCGACGTGCCCGACTTCATGCTAAGGGTCGGTTAGGCCGCCCATGACCTTCGCGCCCTTTCCCTTCCGATGCCCTCTCGAGGCTCCCTGATGACTTCGGAAGACGTCCAGGGTTCCGGGAAGCTTCCCGCGCTCCTCGGCCGTCCTCGGCGGCCACCGCACCAACTGGCGCGCGGCGGGAGGCGGACTCGGGCCGGGGAATCTACGGCCCCCGGGGCCCCTCCCGACCCAGCCCCGCCAGGATCCTGCACGGTCGTGCAGGCTCCTGCACGCTCCCCTGGGTCGATGCACCCCTGGCTCTGCCAGGGAGCCCACCAAGGACGTACGCGCCCAGCTATGTGCATGAACACGGCCCCTTGACCCGCGAGACCGGCCGCGTGATACGAGCATTCGCGCAGTGCGAACTCTCGAAACCAGCGTGGATTCATGCACGTGTACGTCCTTCTTTCGCTCCTGATCTGCAGGATCCTGCGGGATCCAGCGCTCTGGTTGACCCCCGTTTGTCGGGGACGGCAAAGAGGGGGGTGTCCAAGAGGGGGGGGTGCAAATCATGACCGGCGGCATGTGCGCGGCCCAGCGGGGGGGGCAGGGACGTAATGAAATAAGAGGAGGCGCCATGAAATCTGGGGAAATATCAAGGCCCCCGCCATGATATCCAGCCCCCCCCCTAGTCATCACCCCCCTCTTTTCCGCCCCCGAGTTTGCAGCGGCCCCCCGTCGCCCCGGAACCTCCGGCGCCGCGGCGCTCTGGGCCTGCTTCTGCTGCGCGGCCTGCCACTTCTCGTAATCCTGGGACGCCTTGTAGGGCACGAGCCGGCCGCTCCGGTAGCCGAGGAGAGGAGGGGCAAGAGGAGAGGAGGAGGAGGAGGAGGAAGAGGAGGAGGAGGAGAAGAAGGAGAGGAGGAGGAGGAGGGGAGGAGGAGGAGGAGGAGGAGGAGGAGGAGGAGGAGGAGGAGGAGGAGGAGGAGGGGAGGAGGAGGAGGAGGGAGGAGGAGGAGGGAGAAGGAGGAGAGGAGGAGGAGGAGGAGGAGAGGAGGAGGAGGGAGGAGGAGGGGAGGAGGGGGGGAGGAGGAGGAGAGGAGAAGGGAAGAGAGGAGGAGGAGGAGGAGCAGAGGAGGGGGAGGAGGAGGGGGGGGGGAGGACGAGAGGAGGACGAGGAGGAGGAGGAGGAGGAGGAGGGGGAGGAGGAGGAGGAGGAGGAGGAGAGGGGGGCCAAGAGGGAAATGGAGGGGAGGGAAGGGAGGAGACTGGAGGGAGGGGAGAGAGGTGGGATGGTTCACGGAGGGGCAGACGGTTCTGAAGGCGATCAAAACTGTTCTTGGGGGTGGCAGGGAGGGAGGGATGGAGGGAAGGAAAAAGAGGGACGCGGTTCCTCGTGCTCATTCTTCATGTTCACTCCCTTCTCTTCATCCTCTTCCTCCTCCTCCTCTTCATCCTCCTCCTCCCCACTGATGCTCATGGCGGTCGAAGGTGATCCTGCGGCCACTGGGGAAGAGGTGAAACGTCCAGAAAATGAGAGAACAAGCAAAGCGACAGCGGTGGAAGATGATGGAAACAACGAAGTGTAGAGAACATCACACGATCACTCTCAACGAGGCGGGGGAAGGGGGGGCGCCTGAGGCAACAGAGCACGCGAAGAAGAGGGAGGAGGAATGGGAGGGCTTGAAGCTCTGATACACGAGGAAGAGCCGGGAGGAACGCGGAGGTAGGTGGGTAGGCGGGTGCGCAGCAGCATTGCGAACAGTGACTGAGCCTTCGCTCGGCCTGAAAGGCGAGGTGGAATCATAAGCAGGACGGGGGCGGCCGTTAGCGAACTGGGCCTGGCAGGCGACAGCGCTGTAAACGGTGGTAGCATAGGAGGGACGCGCGGAAAAGCAGGTAGATGCGCAATGGAGCGGGATGTAGCAGACTGATAGTAAAAAGGTCTGGCGCGGAGGTGGCTGCAGTAGCCTGCTCTTTGGTGCGAGGCAGAGGAAGGCAGCCACCATACTCTTCTGGAGGCGGTGCAGATACCATGCTCTTTTGGAGTAAGGTCCAAACTGCGCATTCGCTCGGCCTGAAAGGCGAGGTGGAGATGATCGGAAAAAAAGGGACGGCCGCGAACGATCTGGGCCCACGCAAGCGGGCGGCAGCGCTGCAGACGGCGAGCGTGGCATGGTAGGCACACGAGGAAGGGAGCGAGGTAATCAAACGAGGAAGGGGACTGCCGTGTGCGATCTGGGCCCTAGCAGGCGACATTGCTGCGGACGGTGGGTATAGCATGGTGAGCCTAGGCGCAGGCTGGTGGGTGGGTCAGTCGCAACAGCTTCTGCGCGCGTCATTCCCTTCCCCCACCCGAACCAATAATATCTCCGCCCACCCCGAGTCAACACGAGGGGGGGTGAAGGTTAGCGGGGCGAGGCACGAGGGCCAGGGAGGCGGTGAAGGTTGGGGAAGGAAGGTGGAATCAGATCACAAAAATGATGGAGGCGGCGCAATTCAAGCAGTCGCCGTGTCCAAGGGATCGCCGCCATTCGCCAATACTCTGCCGAAGGTGAGGAAAGACGGGTAGGTACGTGAGCTCGGAGAAGACGTGATCGCACGGTCAGCCGCTGCGAGGTCCCCTGAGGCGCGGCCTCAGCGTAGTGGTGCCCAGGTGGGGTAATCCTGGCTCGCTCGAAGAAGGTCGAGCCGCGCGCAAGTAACGCCACGGCGTCGGGCGCGCGGGCGCCACGTTCGACCGCCCAGGCCTGCATGTGCGATGGCAAGGATGGCGATCGCCAGTCATTAGGGGCGTAGTTGGTTGGTGGGGTCGCTGAGCCTGTTGAGGAACTTGGACGCGGAGTCCTTGGCCGCGGTGATCTCCTTCTGGATGTCAAGAGCCTGGTCGTAGGTGACATGTTGTTCCCCTACCATCGTGGCGAGGATGTCGAGCTTGTCCTGGATAACGTTGCGTGGGAGCGGTACTCGGTGATGATATATGATATCAGGGCTTGTTTGGTACGTCGCATGTCACTGTGCCCATAGGTCGTTCTTGCTGCTGTCGGACAGACTGAGGATGGATACCTCGTCGCCCTCGTTAACCACGATGGCGCCGTGCGCGATGGAGCCCTCCAGCGCGGCGTGGCACGGGTGACGCATGGTAGCTCCCACGGGGAAGGTAATTGCGTCGGGGTTAACCTTCTCGTGGGTGATCGTCGCGATGGGGAACCATCCAGTGGGTTTATGTGGTTCGACTTGAAGATGTCGCGCCCTCCGCGCCGATGTTCAGGTCGCCTCGCACGGGGCCCGAGCTGTCGCCACGCGGCGGGTCGCACCTGGTTGAAGCCGGCGCCGCGAGGCCCACGGCTGCCCCGCCGCCCCCCTCAACGACCGGGCTTGCTGAGCTACCTCTACCCCCCTGGAGGTTATCTACTCCTGGCGTTGTCTCGGCCCCCCTGCTGGCACGTGTATTCACTGCGTTGCTGCAGGGGCTGTCTAAGGAGATGCGTCGTCGGCTGTCTGTCGACGCTGCTAGACAGACAGCATTGCTGCTCGTTGAATTCCAGCTCGGCGCTGGTAGCGGGATCGTACATTGGGTCGCGCACGTCTGATTCTGGAGCGGTCGGCAGTCGCGAAGCTAGTCGTTCCAGGCGTGACGTGCTCTGGCGTTGACCCTCCCAGTGAGTCGATTGGTTGTTGCTACGTTGGTCCTAATGGCCTCAGTGACGGCGACATCCCCAATGCCAGAAACCCTCGTCAGTTGTTCGGGGTTTGGTCGCCGGCACCCCGTCAATGCCACTGCTGTCGTCGTCACCGCGGTGGCCCATGGCATCTGCCGAACCCACTGCGCCCGGGCCGGTGTCCGCGGCGCAGCGCACTGAACGTCGCGGTGCTGACTGAGGTCGGCCCTGTTCCGCGCGCCCGCGGTGCACGCGCACTTCTTCAGATGGTTGGGTGGGAGACTTCGGTGGCAACGATACTGATCTGTTCGGTGGGGTGCCAATGTGGAAGGTCGGTGCTGGTCGAAATTCGATCGGCGTCAAGCACTCCGTTGGTGATCTGGTTGCTTCCGTCGCAGCGTGCATGGTGTCGTTTCGGCTGTGCCTGTTGGTTTGCCTGGCAGCCCCTATTCGTCTGCCATCGGCGTCGGGGCCTCGTCACTTTGAAGTCGCCGCGTTGAATGTGGAACTTTTCCGCCCGACTGAGGTAGTAGTCGCCGTTCCTCGGCAGCGCGGAAGGCGGCCCCCACGGCTCGACTTGTCGTGGCATCTGTTCTTCGAACGACTCAGGTCGCGCAGTTTGAGCACTCCCGTCAACGCCAGGCAAGGTGGCTGAGCGCCCGTCTTCGGGCGTCGTCTTCGCAAGGTTGAATAGGTCCTGCTCGCGCTGGCATTCGCCCCTCTGGGTCTATGCGCGGCGGTCCTCGATGTCAAATATCTCAGAGTCAGGAACGACGGCAAGCTGAGCTCCTGGGCCGACGTATTGCGGTCATGCCCCTTATGGCGCCTGATGGAAGATCACAATAGAGCGGTGGTCGTCGTTCTTGAGCTGGTTGGCGTGGTCGTGGACGAAGTCTGCTTCCCGCTCCTTCTGCATAGCGTGGATCCCTGAGTGGGCGTTCTCGAGCTGTCTTGTTCGCTACCCCAGTTGTGAACATGTGACAGATTGCTTGCTGCATTGCTGCTGGAGGAGTTGCCCCTGCGACTCTATGGAGGCTTCTTCGGCGTTGAGCTGGCGGCGGTCGCAAAGTACGCGTTCCGCTCGTAGTCCCGCTGCAGGTCCTCGGTCTGCCCCTCTGGCACCTGGATGATATGTCTTGTTGTGGTACTGTTTCTCACCGGTATACAAGATCTGCTTTTGCCCGTAAATCTCGTCCTAGAGATGGCTGGTTCTGTGCTCTGAGAGGTTGTAATTATGCTGGATGCGTTCGCGGGCCTGGTCCTCGACGTTCGCGCTCTTGACTTCCACTGTTGCCTGCTCCTGCCGCACGTGTTAGCGAGCCCGCTGTTGGTCGTGGAGTTGATGGGCTGCGCGCCGCGTCTCCTGTAGGTCGTCGGTGATGATTTGTCGTTGGCGCCCTAGGTGCTGCCTGGCTTCTTCGTTCTCTTCTAAGCTCTTCTCTAGGTTGTTGCACTTGATGGTCAGATCCGCAAATCGTGGCTGCCGTAAACGATGCATCTGCAGTCGCGATTCTTACAAAGCTCTTTGTAAGTACTCGCTGGGGGTGGCTGCCTCCTGGTCGCTCTCGTAGCAATCTTGATTCCTGGGAGATTCTGGCGTTGCGGTCGACGGAATGGCGCATGACATTGTTGGCCCCGCGGAACTCGTCCCTGATGTTCTCAATGGCAATGCTGTCTTTCTCGGCATTGTGCGCACTGCGCAAGGCGATCTTCTCGATTGCGTTCCCGATGGCGTGGATCTCCTTCTTGTGCTCCTCCATCTGGTCCTGCTCGCAGCGCCGGGGCCTGTGGTAGCTTTCCTTCTCGATCTTGTAGTGGACTCCGTCGCTTCCTCAAGCTGGCTGGTGATGGCTCTCAACTGTTTAGCGTGACTTCGTTGCGCTTCAGTTTTCTGCTGTGCTTCTTGGAGTTCTTGCCGCAGCACATTGACGGTGGAGGCTTCCGCGGGTGCTTGAGCCGATGGTGGCGATGGCGGCATTTCTCTGATGCGCCCTCGGCGACGTCTCCCCATGACCGGCGCTAGTGTGTCGGAGCGTCGTTGCCTGCGCGCCTCCTGGGCGTCGTTGCTGACATGGCGTCCGCATCGTCGTCCGAGGTCGGCCCCCCTGATGCTGTCGTGGAGCCTGCGCAATTGACAATTGTC